CCGCCGTCCTCGTCCAACAGTGGGTCAGCTACGCCGACACGGAGCTAGTACCAGCTGCCTGTGGGGCAACGCTGCCCGCCCTGGGACTGCGCGGCTCCGTCCAGGACCCCCAGGTGAGTGGGGAAGACGGACGGGAGGGGGAGGAGAAGGAAGCAGGAGTTGGGATGGGTAATGGGACAGCGATAGTGTGTCGGTGAGGAAAAAGGTTGATCAAGTCCCAGATTGCCACCTGATAACCTCTCTGAGCCTTGGTCTTCCTTTTGTCTCTGAAAACTTTAGTTTTCATGTTGAGAAGATTAAAAGACGTGTGCAGAGCACATGGTCTAGTGCCAGGCGCTTTGGAGTGAGTAAAAGTTTGATGAGTCTGAAACCCACAATAGAAGTTACTGTGAACTGTAGGGGAAAAGTGGGTGAGGGAGAGATGAGAAGAGGCAGGTAGGGCCAGGAGAGATAAGGATGGGGGTGGGGGAGACATGAAATGAGGGGGAAGGCAGAGGAGAGAGAACCACACCAGATTGTAACCAAGTCCTTCCAGAGTGGGGCTGTGCCTTCTGGTCCTTATCACACACAGGGTACATACTTAGTATTTCTTGAATGAATGAATGAATGAATGAATATGTGACTTAGACCCTGCTGGCTCCCTCATACCCTGATTATACTATCTGAAATAGAGGCCCCTCTTTGGAATTCCTTAACCTGATTTATTTTATTTTTTATTTTTTTAAATTTATCTTCATAGCACTTAAGGGTAAAAATAGGGTAATGTATTATATATTTGTTCATTTATTGTCTCCCAATTAGAATGTAAACTCCCATCAGGTCAGGGGCCCTGTTCAAATTCTCTCCTTGTTCCTTAGAGAGCTATGTGGCATGTAGTAGGTGCTTAACAAATATTGTTGAAGCAATTATTGTGTTGCCTTATGTAATCTTTAACTTCTTGTACTTAGTATATTGCAACTGATAAGTGTTCAGTAGGAATTTTCTGAATGAATGAAGCAACAAAGGGGCCACAAGTGGGTGCCCCTTTAAGATATATATTTTTAAAAAATATATTTTTAGTGATTTCAGAGAGGAAGGGAGAGGGAGAGAGAGATAGAAACAGAAATGATGAGAGAATCATTGGTCGTCTGCCTCCTGCACACCCCACACTGAGAATCGAGCCCGCAACCTGGACATGTGCCCTTGACCGGAATTGAATCTGGGACCCTTCAGTTGCAGGCCAACACTCTATCCACTGAGCCAAACTGGCTAGGGCAGGGCTTCTTTTTATTATGACCATTTCAAAGAAGATGAAACTGGCCCAGAGGTCATGATTTGTGGGAGTGGAAGGAGGCCAAGCCCTGTCTCATATCCCTTCCCCTTCCGGCTAGGCTGCACTGGGGGCCCTGGGAAGGGCCCTGAGCCCCTTGGAAGAGTGGCTTCGGCAGCACACCTACCTGGCCGGGGAGGCTCCCACTTTGGCTGACCTGGCGGCTGTCACAGCCTTGCTGCTGCCCTTCCGATATGTGAGTCACTCGGGCCTGGGGAGGAATAGGGGCAGTTCCTCTCTGGCCTCACTAAAGGGTGACTAAGGGTAGTTGATTTCTTTTCCCCTTCCCAGGTCCTGGATCCCTGTGTGCGCCGGATCTGGGGTAATGTCACTCGCTGGTTCATCACCTGTGTCCAGCAGCCAGAATTCCGGGCCGTGCTGGGAGAGGTGGTTCTGTATTCAGGGGCCAGGCCTCTCTTCCAACAGCCGGGTAAGGAAGGGGGAGGTGGGAGGGGAGGGTTCCTCGCGGTCTCCCATGCAGCTCACTTTCTTATTGACCGGAATTGAATCTGGGACCCTTCAGTTGCAGGCCAACACTCTATCCACTGAGCCAAACTGGCTAGGGCAGGGCTTCTTTTTATTATGACCATTTCAAAGAAGATGAAACTGGCCCAGAGGTCATGATTTGTGGGAGTGGAAGGAGGCCAAGCCCTGTCTCATATCCCTTCCCCTTCCGGCTAGGCTGCACTGGGGGCCCTGGGAAGGGCCCTGAGCCCCTTGGAAGAGTGGCTTCGGCAGCACACCTACCTGGCCGGGGAGGCTCCCACTTTGGCTGACCTGGCGGCTGTCACAGCCTTGCTGCTGCCCTTCCGATATGTGAGTCACTCGGGCCTGGGGAGGAATAGGGGCAGTTCCTCTCTGGCCTCACTAAAGGGTGACTAAGGGTAGTTGATTTCTTTTCCCCTTCCCAGGTCCTGGATCCCTGTGTGCGCCGGATCTGGGGTAATGTCACTCGCTGGTTCATCACCTGTGTCCAGCAGCCAGAATTCCGGGCCGTGCTGGGAGAGGTGGTTCTGTATTCAGGGGCCAGGCCTCTCTTCCAACAGCCGGGTAAGGAAGGGGGAGGTGGGAGGGGAGGGTTCCTCGCGGTCTCCCATGCAGCTCACTTTCTTATCTTAGAATGCAGAATCCCTTGAGCAGGGGCCTGCGGGAGGGCAAGGTGGGAGGTCAGCATGGGGAAGCCCTTGGGCAGCTGGAATGACCGTCTGAGACACAGCAGCACCTTCACAGAGGGCCTCAGCGTCTAAGTCTGCATTTCTGGGCCTCTCACCAGGCCCTGAGGTCACTGCACCTCCAAAGACACCTGCTCAACTGAAGAAAGAGGCAAAGAAACGGGAGAAGCTAGAGAAATTCCAACAGAAGCAGAAGATCCAACAGCAGCAACCACTGCCCAGGGAGGTGAGAGGCTAAGGGGAGAGCTGAACAGGATGCTGGTGTCATGGTGGGGGCAAGGGGAGAGGCTGATCTCTGAGTCTGAGTCTATATCTTTCCCTCCCAAGCAGAAGAAGCCAAAACCAGAGAAGAGGGAGAAGCGGGATCCTGGAGTTATTACCTATGATCTCCCAACCCCACCTGGGGAAAAGAAAGGTACTGGGTCGGGGGAGGGACCCCCTTACCTCCCCCCTCCTCAGCTGCTGCTGCTCCTGTTGCCCTTCATGCTTGTCCTTGCTGCCACCACTTTTCTTGGTGAAGATTTGCAGAGGCCCAGGCCCTTCTCTGCTGGTCCACCGTCCTCTTCCCACCGGCCCAGCCTCCACACTGATGCCTGCCTTCCTCTCTCCCAGATATCAGTGGCACTATGCCCGACTCCTACAGCCCTCAGTACGTGGAGGCAGCCTGGTATCCGTGGTGGGAGCAGCAGGGCTTCTTTAAGCCAGAGTATGGAGTGAGTGGCACTGCCACCCAGGCTGGAGGGGGAGGGCCTGGGAGTGGTGACATGGAGTCTTAGCATGTGCCCATCCTTCCTCCCCCATAGCGTTCCAGCGTGTCAGCACCTAATCCACGGGGCGTCTTCATGATGTGCATCCCACCCCCAAACGTGACAGGCTCCCTGCACCTGGGCCACGCGCTCACCAACGCCATCCAGGATTCCCTGACCCGATGGTGAGCTCCTGTCCTCTCCCAACTGCTTCCCTCGGCTTCCTTCCCTTCTCTTCCCTGAAGGCCCTCCTGCCTCTCTCCTTCCATTCTGGCCCTCAGCTCTGCCCCCTGGTGGTGGTACACTTCTCTCTGTCATTCCCTCCCCTCTGATCACTTGCTAGTAGCATCCTCCCCTGGTCAATAACCAACACTTCTCTCCCTCCTCTTGCTATTAGAAATCATATTACTTTGAATTAAACAAGAAATATGTGAAATATTCTTGTTGTAAGAAATGTAAAACTTCAAGTCTCCTTGATAACCCCCTCCAGACCTACTTCCCAAGGCTTAGCCTTTGTTATCACTTTGTGGATCTTTCTAGATCTTTCTTGTCTATTACTCATAGGTACATGTACCCATAGAAATTTATAGTTTTCTTTCGGGTGGATTTTTTTTTCTGCCATGCTATTCTTCAGCTTTCTTCTTACACTGAATGGTTTGTCGTAGAGATCTTTCCTTACCCTTATCCAAAGACTGACCTCATTCTCTTTCATTGCCCTGTAGCATTCCATACTGTGACTATGCCATATAGAGTCACTTTCTAAAAAAATAAATAAAATAAAATTAATGGTTGTTTCTAATTTTTCTCTGCTGAAAATCGCTTGAATGCACATTCCTGCACAAGCTTCCTCAGGCACAGAGACGCTTCTGTGGCGTAGCTACCAGGAAGTGAAACTGCTCGGTCAGAGGGGCATGCCTGTGTTAAGCACAAACCGCAGCGCCACGGTGCCCTACAAAACAGCTTTACCACTCATCTCCCTGTGAGGATGTTTGTTTACCGTGGCCTTGCTAACTCTGGGCATTATCTTCATTTTGCTAAGATGGACAAAAAAAATGGCACCTATGTAATTTCTGATTGCCAGTGAGCTGTGCCGCTTCCTATGTCTGGGCCGGTCTGGTTTCCCCTATGTGAACTGTCTGTGCGTCTCTATCATTTGCCCATCTTTCTATTGATTGATTCTTTGTTGTTTTCTTCTTCTTTAATTGGTTGTTGGATGATTCTTTACATAATCTGGGTATTGTTTTTTTTATATATAATTTGATTGATTTCAGAGAGGAAGGGAGGGGAAGAGAGAGATAGAAACATCAATGATCAGAGAGAATCACTGATTGGCTGCCTCCTGCACGCCCCACACTGGGGACGGAGCCTACAACCCAGGCATGTACCCTGACCGGAATCGAACCGTGACCTCCTGGTTCATAGGTCAACACTCAACCACTGAGCCACGCTGGCCAGGCTGGGTATTGTTTTTTTATTTGTTATATATTGTAAATGTTTACTCCTGTTCTAGCACTTGCTTTCCCTCCTCCTGCTTTATCAACCTGCCCCACTGTCAATAGTTTAATTAGTTAACAGATATAGAGTTAATATTCTAGGTGACAAATTCCTTTAAAAAGTATTTTAAGTCCTGGCCAGTGTGGTTCAGTGGGTTGAACAAGGTCCCATGCACCCAAAAATCACTGGTTCCATTCCTGGTCAGGGTACATGATCCTCAGCAGGGGATGTGCAGGAGGCAGCCGATTGATGGTTCTCTCTCTCTCGCTCTCCCTTCCTCTCTCTAAAATCAATAAAAACATTTTTTTAAAAAAGCATTTTAAAACAACTTTTTATCTTTGGAAACCAGGGTTATTTATTATATTTTAAGTTTTGAGACATTTTTCTAGTTTCCTAAATTAATTTAATAAAAAAATATTTATTAATTACTAAATTAATTAATCAAAAAATATTTCAGGCCAGCACTGCTCTGGGTATTGGGGGATAATGTCAGATTTAGTATTTTGCAAGGAATTGAGAGCTGGCAAAGAGTTTTATTAAATACATATAACAAGAATGGCCAAGTTATTTACATGAGAATAGAGTTAACACTTCTTACAAAACTCTTAGGGTAGCCACATTTTTTCTACTGAACATGATTTAAATAAGATGTTAGAAACTACCATTGCTTAAATGGAGTAGATTTATATCAATATTTTAGAATAAAAGATGTGAAAATAAAATAATGTGAAATGCAGCTTTAAATATCTCCACCAATAAGACATTATAAAAACGAGTTGAATAGCTATATTTTTTCTTTTTCTTCCTCCAGCAGAGAATAGGGTGCTTTTCTACAAATATCCATGGCATTGATTTATTTTTATTATTTTTTTAATATATTTTATTGATTTAATATATTTATCTCTCTCTCTCCCGTCCTCCCATCAGAGAGGACGGGAGAGAGAGAGATAGAAACATCAATGATGAGAGAGAATCATCGATCAGCTGCCTCTTGCACACCCCCTGCTGGGGATTGAGCCGGCAACCTGGGCATGTGCCCTTGACTGGACTCGAACCTGGGACCCTTCAGTCCACAGGCCGACGCTCTATCCACTGAACTCTCCACTGAGCCAAACCAGCGAGGGCTACCACTTGCTTTTTAACTTCACTGAGAGGTGTTGCTGTTCTGAGGTTTTGCGTTTTGCTGTAATCGGTTCGACGATGTTCTTAGATTTCATCCTGCGTGTCTGGTTTAGGATGGCCTCTCCTGCCTCAAAGTTACACACATGGCCACCTGTATTACTGACTTCTTTATTTAATTTTTGGAAAACGATGTCATTTTCTGAGACTTTTCTTATAGTTCTGTTTTTCTATATTGATTTCTTTAATCTGACTAGAAATTATTTATTTATTGTTAATCCTCACTTAAGGGTTTTTTCCATTGATTTTTAGAGAGAATGGAAGGGAGGGAGAAAGAGAGAGAAACCAATGTCTCCCTCTTACATCAATTGGTTGCCTCCCATACATGCCCCGACCGGGTCAGGGATTGAACTGCAACCCAGGTACGTGCACTTGACTGGGAATCAAACCCGTGACCCTGCAGTGCTGGAGCTGACACTGTAACCACTGAGAAACACCGACCAGGGCTGGCTATAATTTATTTTCGTGAATATTGGGAAGTAGGGAGATGTTTTTCCAACTAAGTAGTTAGTTCCAAAAAAATTTTGAATTGTTTTCCTTTTTCATACTGATAGGAAATGCCACCCAGGACAGATACTAAATTGGCTTGGATCTGTTTCCAGTCACTGTTTTGTTCCCTTTCATCTGTAACTTTGTTCCTATGTTGTAACTAATTGCTTGAATAATCATAATTTTCTCATATGTTTTGCTATCTAGTTGGGCAGGAGCCTCCTCTTTGTTCTTTTGCCAAATTGCTTTGGCTATCCTTGCCATGTCCTCCCCAGACTGAAACTTTAGAATTGGGGTCCCTCTCCACTGCCCTTTCCCTCCCGAGCCCACTGACTTCTTCCCCCAAAGCCCCTCCAGGTGCCAGCCCTGCCGCCCACTCACTGCCGCCCTCGGCGCTCTTCCCACAGGCACCGCATGCGCGGGGAGACCACCCTGTGGAACCCCGGCTGTGACCACGCAGGCATTGCCACGCAGGTGGTCGTGGAGAAGAAGCTCTGGCGCGAGCAGGGGCTGACCCGCCACCAGCTGGGCCGCGAGGCCTTTCTGCGGGAGGTCTGGAAGTGGAAGGAGGAGTGAGTGTGCAGCAGCCCTGGTCACAGGCTGCACAGAACCTCTCACAGAGGCTGAGGGTCGGTGGCTTCAGGACGAGGTCCATTTCAGAGAATGAGGGGTCCTCGCG